TGTTGACTCTTCCCCAACAAATCATGTTCATCAAGCAAGAACTCTTTATTTAAAAAACAACAACAAAAATTATTGAGTTCTTTAGCCTGGTTTAATCATCTGGGGCAAAATTCTCCTCCTGGATTTGTCTGGCAGATCTCTATTCTGATATTTGACTTGCCCTATATCAGTGTTTCCCAAACTTGGGAAGACCACATTAAGAACAGTCCCAGTTCGTCACACCTGCCGCGTCCGCAGGTCCAGCCGATCGTGGCTCCCACTGGCCGCGGTTCGCTGTTCCAGGCCAATGGGAGTTGCTGGAAGCGGCACGGGCCGAGGGACGTACTGGCCACTGCTTCTAGCAGCTCCCATTGGCCTGGAGCAGCAAACGACGGCCAGTGGGAGCCGCGATTGTCCGGACCTGCGGACGCGGCAGGTGTGACGAACTGGGACTGTTCTTAATGTGGTCTTTGAATGCTGAGTGGGGAGTGTTGGCCTGGGAAGGTTGCAGGGGAGTTTGGCTGGGACGGTCTGAATTGGGAGATGGGAGACTGGCCTTGAGGGAGCATACCTGAGCATGTAACATGAGAACCCAGGAGGGGGGTTGGAGGCCAGGTGACACCTCTGCCCGGGAAACTGGACAAAGGCTGGGGGAGGAGCCGGGGAGAGGCTGGGGGAGAGACACTGGAGGGAGTTAGAGTTTCAGGAGCTGGCTGGTGTAATGGAGGGGAGCCCAGATGGGGCTCTGACCCCCCAACGGGGCTGTGGTGCCCCTGGGACCCCAAGATGGACCTAACTGAGGGGGTCCTGTTGTCTGTACCTGCAAGACCTGTCTTGGACTGTAATCTTGTCATCTAAATAAACCTTCTGCTTTACTGGATGGCTGAGAGTCATGATGAATCGCAGGAAGCCAGGGGTGCAGGGCCTTGTCTCCCCCCACACTCCGTGACAACAGGTAAAGAAACCGGCCCGGCCCAACAGGGGCTTTCCCTACACAAGCGGCATCCCAAGTTTGGGAAGCACTGTCCTATATGTATGCAGCTCCCATTGAAATCATTAGGACCTGCACTCTTGTAGGGTAAGGAGAATATTCATGTCATAGTGTGTCACCCAGCCAGTTTAGTGTAACTATATCCTACAGGTTCTATTTATTATCTTGTGTTTGGGGGCAGTTGAAAGATTTGGATGATTGGAGTTCTTAGAGGAATGAGATAGTTATTTATAATTGGTTGACTTTTTAAAAAAAGTATATATGTATGGGCCAGAATTGTTTGGGGCTGGAGTTTTCTTGTTTAATTATGCATTTGAACTGTGTATTTTTTAAGACTCTGTTAAAGTCCCATGAACCTTGGATAGCCATTTGCAAATACAAGTTGTTATAATAATAAATAGATCCAGTGTGTCTCTTTCAGAGCACTGTGATCTTATCCTTAACTGGTTATGCTCTTGGTGTTAAGAGGCAGTATTTCTTAGCACTAATCAAATATGCATTAAAAACAACCATGTACAGTAAATCCAGAAGCATGACTGCATAGCAGAAGTGAAAAACGTTGTTAGTTAATAAAGATAAATTTTCAAAATAGACAGATTGAGTCATTAAAAAGAACATTCTAATCCACAATGACCGGTACTTTATCTGATGCAAGCAATAAGCAGCATAATGAACACTGGCACCAGACGTTTGCCCTTCCTGGAACAGAAACATGTAAAGAAACATTAAAGTAGGAAAAACTAATTGAAGGGTACGTTATACATTCAGGGTACGTTACATCAGGATTGTAAGCATGAGTCAAGTGCAAATACATCTAGAGCTTTATGCAAATCCTTTGCTTTGAACATGACTCAATAGCTTGGTACCAACTGTGTTTCAGGAAATGTTGAAGCTGTCAATTATCGACATGATTTTCACAGTGGCAAGCATTCTGCTAATAGACTTTTTCCGTGGACTATTTGTCCGATACTTAAGTGATTGCTGGTGCTGGGATCTGGAAAGCAAGTTTGTAAGTATAGACTTTTTTTTATTTTAGTAAAATCATTCTAATGAAAATTGGACAGACTTAGGCCCTTGTGTTGATCAGTAGCTTCTTTGGCAACAATTAGGTTATCCATATGGGCACAGCAAGCCTACGGATATATTTACACTTCAAGCTGGGGGTGTGATACTTGCACTAGCACTGCTCAAGCTAGTGCACTAAAAATAGAACATTGCTGTGGCAGCATGAGCAGCGGGAGGGGCTAGCCACCCCGAGTGTGTGCCTATCAGAGATGCTAGGTTAGGTACTCAGGGAGGCTAGCCACTTACACTGCCATGGCTACATCCTGAGCTAGCTCGAGTATGTCTCCTTGAGCTGGGAATCACACCCTGAGCTTGAAGTGTAGACTTACCCTAAGGGCGTAGGGAGGCTGAATTTAAATTGGAGGGCACAGAGCAAACAGTGAGATTACTTCAAGCTCACTGACAGTTGTGGCCAAGGCACAGACTCCCACATCTTTCTCATAATGAGATCATGGATCAGCCCTACAGTCAAAGATGACTAATCGATGGACCTTTTGAAAATGGAGAGAGTGGGTGGCTTCTAACTTCCTCTCCAGCTATGACAATGCCCCATGAGATATCAAGTGATGCAAGACACAATAATTATAAGCACACAATCCTGAAAAATAAAGATCACAGTAAGTAATGCTTGGCTAGGGAGCAGCTGTTGCCATGAAATCCTGAAATACAGTCTTGTCTTTAGCAGCTAATTTAAAGAGTGGAGTGGAGTACAATTAGCTTGAGTGTCCCCACCCCCAGGTGCAGGTTTGACTACATTCTTACTGCATGTCAAAGAGCGATACTTACACTGGAGATTTCAGCGTGCAGTCTATTCCATGCATTTATACAGGCTCATATTTTAGATAGTAGATATTAAAAATATTGAAATAAGTTGTTCACCATTCATTGTATTTCTCGTAGCCAGAATATGGAGAATTCAAAATTGCAGAGAATGTGCTACATTTGGTCTACAACCAAGGAATGATTTGGTATGTAATATATATATAAGCATTTTTCTTGTCCTTGGTTGGTTACCAAGATAATTTATTACCTAAACCTCAAACTCACCATATATCCAAATAGGAGTTTAGTAAAGGAGCATTGCATGATTATTAACATTATCACACTGATACAACATGACAGGTTATTTAGAACTACTCGTATATCTTATTGTAACATAATTAAAATTAATCGGAGGCGTGTTGATTACTTTGAAATTACATATTTCTTTCTAGGATGGGAGCCTTCTTTTCACCCTGCCTCCCAGCTTTCAATGTTCTGAAGTTGATTGGACTTATGTACCTGAGGAGCTGGGCTGTGTTAACATGTAACGTACCACATCAGCAGGTTTTCAGAGCTTCAAGGTTAGTTAAAATAAAGACAATATTCAATGTAAGGAGAAGAAATGTATTATCCGACTGTAAATGAAATGAGTAGCCTTGAATGCTGGAAATAAAAAATAAAATTAGATTTAATATATTAACTTTGAGGCCTTCAGCAAAAATTTGTAAAGGAAAATATAGTTAGTGAAGAGAGGGAGGTAGAAAGCAGCATTGTACTGGAGAGAATTAGCATATGAAAGTGCATCACAAGGGCATAAAGGGAGCTGTGTAGCTTGGGATTTGGGATTGTACACAGAACCTTTCACTTCTACATCACAGGGTCAAAGTCAGTAGCAGGGCCGGCTCCAGGGTTTTTGCTGCCCCAAGTGGCGCCAAAAAAAAAAAAAAAAAAAA